TAATTTCTTTTTCTTCGTCTTTTACAATAGTGGTCCTATGCAGTATTTCTCTTTTTGTGACTGACTAATTTCACTCAGCATAATGTCCTCAAGGTTCATCCATGTTATGCGGTGGCTTACCGAGAAGCATGGTCTTTTATGTTGCTCAATCCCAGAGCACTTTTTCTTCTTCTCTCTTAAAAGTTGTATTCTCCATGATTTGTGGTTGCATTGAGGTAAAAATAAATCAGTGTTAAGAATTAAAAAGCGGTTGAATATTCTCCGATGGTAGTCTACTGCTGCAGTTACTCAGTTCTGATAATGTGTCTTTTGCAGAGTGACTGTCCTTTCTGGGTATATGGCGAGAGACCCGGGAGTCAGATTACAGTCAGAGTCCAAACTAATAGACCAGTCAGTGGCTTCTTTCCCTCAGGTTTCTCTCCAAGAACCATTGCAAGTGACTGGTGGCCATACTCTGGCACCAGGGAAAGGTTTCATGCAGAAAAAGTGAGGCTCTCCATATATTTTGAACTGGTCTTGCAGAATTCTGTCATGCGATCTCTATCATTTCTATCACCAAGGCCACATTTTCCAAATACTGATCCTTCCTCTTTGTTTCCAGCATTCGTATTCCAATCACCAGTGATTATCGGTACATCTTGATTGCATGTTTGATGAATTTCAGACTGAAGAAGTTGGTAGAATTCTTCAGTTTCATCCTCACTGACTTTAGTGGTTGCTGGGTAAATTTGAATAATAGTAGTTTTTAACTGGTCTTCCTTGTAGGCTTGTGAGTAGTATCCTATCACAGATAGCATTATACTTCAGGACATCTTGATACGTTCTTTTTGATGATGAATGCAATGCCATTCATCTTTGTCATTCCTGGAATAGTAAACCATTGTAAACCCTGCATAGATTATCAGATTCAACATGGTCAATACCAGTCCATTTCAGCTCACTAATGCCTAGACTATCGATGTTTACGTGTTCCATTTCATTTTTGACAATTTCCAGTTGTTTTAGATTCACACTTTGTACATTCCACGTTCCAGTTATTAATGGATGTTTGCAGTTGTTTCTCTTCATTTTGAGTTGTGTCCCATCAGCAAATGAAGGTCCTGAGGGCTTTACTTCATTCGTGTCGTCACTGACAACTCTACTTAGAGAAGGCAGTTCTTCCCCAATCTCATTTTGAGTGCCTTCCAACCTGAGGGGCTCCTCTTCTGGCACTATATTTGACAATATTCTGGTGCTCTTCATCATGGTTCAATATTCAGTATTCTGATGCTAACAGTGTTCCACTGCTATCCATAAGGTTTTCAGTGACTAAATATTTGGAAGTAGTCCGTCTCTCCTTCTTCTTAGTCAGTCTTCATTTGGAAGATCAGCTGATATCTGCCCACCGTTGGTGACCCTGTGGTATTTAACATGCCTGTGGCACAGCTTCCAGCATCACAGCCACACACAAACCACCACCTTTCAACAGACCGACAGACAAGTGTGCTCATGAGGAACCTCTACGTAGACCTGGAGGCAGTTGGTTGAACAAAACAAGAGAATACCAAATGGTTTAAAATTAACAAAGGTGTGTGCTAGGGTTGTATTCTTTAACTGTACTTATTTAGTCTGTATGCTGACCACATACTCTGAGAAGCTGGATTATATGAAAAAGAACATGACATCAAGATTGGAGAAAGACATTAACAACCTGCGATATACAGGTGATACAACCTTGCTTGCTGAAAGTGAAGAGGACTTAAAATATTTACGTATGAAGATTAAAGAACACAGCCTTTGGTATGGGTTGCACCTCAATGTCAAGAAAACAAAAATCCTCACCACTGGACCAATAAACAACTTTCTTATCAATGGAGAAAAGTTTGAAGTTGTTAAGGACTTCATTCTTCTTGGATCAAACATTAACACTCATGGAAGCAACAGTCAAGAAATCAAACTACATATTGCATTAGGCAAATCTGTTGCACAAGAATTTTAAAGTGTTGAAGAACAAAGATGTCTGTTTGAGAATGAAGGTGCACCTGAACCAAGCCATGGTATTTTTAGTAACCTCATATGTATACAAAAGTTGGACAGTGAATAAGGAAGACTGTAGAAGAATTGATGCATTTGAGCTGTGGTGTTGGAGAAGAATATTAAAAGTAACATGGACTGCCAAAGGAACAAATCTGTGTTGAAAGTACAGCCAGAGTGCTCCGTGGAAGCTAGGATGGCCAGATTTTGTCTCTCATACTTGGACATAGTATCCAATTTTTGGAGAAGGATATCAATGTGTATTAAAATGGAGCGTCAGAGTAAAAGGGGAAGACTTCCAATGAGATGGATTGGCACAATGGCAGCAGCAATGGGCTTAGGACTGGGCAGGATTTCATTCTGATGTGCATAGGGTCAGTATGAGTCGCTACTGCTCGGTGGCATGTAGCAACAACAACGACATTTTGGATTGACTCATTTCTTCTTTCTTCCTACAGTGGTGTTTATCATGGAAAATTATTAAAGATAAAAAGTGTTAATAAGTCTTTGGAAAAGGAAGTGTTAAATT